AAGTGCAGACAGTGTGTATTTTGTGTGTACAGAATAAAGTGTTGTGTGTTTATAAAATGAATTCCATTGTAATGCTGTTAGTGATGTTTTTAGGTGGTAATTTTACTTACACGTATAAAAATATTATACATTATTTGCACTAATACCACTTTGCCTCTCTTTCTTTACATGAATCCACACTCTGAGATGAAAGGTAAGTCATCAAATGATCTGCAATAATTCATATTGAGTTCTCATTGTATGGGAATTAATGCAGTGTCAATCTCTTTGTGTCTGCATGTTGGCTGAGTGGATCAAAGTGTCTTAATTGGTCAGTGGGTGCACTGGAACATAAGATGAAATGAAGATAGTCTCACTGTTTGTACCTAATGTGAGTATAAATGTAATTCATAGAGATGGGAGATGAAAATCACTGATCATTTAGGTGAAGAATATCAATATTGAACAGAGTATTGACATTTTATTATTTATATTTTGATCCTGTATTAAGTCCATTGTTAGACTAATAAAATACCAAAATCCATTGTGTTCTACTGCTGTTTATTCTTTTCTGTTCATTATTTTTTCTCTATTTGGTTGTATATCTTTATGACACTAACATAACCTTTTTCACTCCCTCTATATCTGAGTCCACACTCGGAGGAAATAAAAAGTCTAAAAGTTAAGTGAAAAATTGTCTAAAATTATTGTGTATGATTTAAATATCTGTACACAGTTCTCACTGTATGGAAATGAATGCAGTGTCTTCCTCTTTTTTACATGTGGACAGAATGGATTAAAATGTCTTCACTGATTAATGGCTGCACTGGGACATCAGGTGAGATAAACGGTGTCCTTCTTTTCCATTTGAGTAAATGGTGGTAAATGCTTTTATGATTAGGTTACTTGTTTTTTCTCTCTCACTTCTCTTCACATGTTTGAGCTGAAATCTTCTACCTTGGTGCGACGGACTGTGTGGTGCTTTAAAACTTGTGAAGACTGTAATAAAAGTAATCAAGTCACTTAATTAAACATTGTTTTATACAAACATAAGGAATATGTGTTCATTAGGGAATAAAAATCATTCTGCATGCTTCTCTTTTATCTACATGTTGGTGGACTGAAATGAAAATCTCTTCGTTGTTCTGCCTTTGCTTTGACACAGAAGGTGAGATGAAGACTGATAAGGATTAATTTACTTTTTCAGGATTTAAATGAACTGATATTTCATTTAAATTTTCATTTATACTGCTTTATATATTTATAAATAGATAATATACATTATTTGCACTAATACCATCTTGTTCCCTCTTTCATTACCTGAATCCACACTCTGAGGACAAAGGTAAATCAACAAATGATCTGTAATAATTTTATATTATGTGAATAATCATGTTCAGTTCTCATTGTGTGGGAATTAATGCAGTGCATGTCTGTTTTTGTCTGCATGTTGGTTGAGTGGATCAAAGTGTCTTAATTGTTTAATGGCTGCACTGGAACATAAGATGAAATGAAGATCGTCTCACTGTTTGTACCTAATGTGAGTATAAATGTAATTAATTGAGATGGAAGATAAAAATCACTGATCATTTAGGTGAAAAATAGCAATATTGAACAGAGTATTGACATTTTATTATTTATATTTTGATCCTGTATTGAATCCATTGTTAGACTAATAAATTACCAAAATGCATTGAGTTCTTAGTCCACATGATGGCACTGCGAAATCAGAAGAGGACATTTTCCTTTTTCAAACTGCAAACTGTTAAAATATACTTTATCAAAATGTGTCATAACTCAGTACAGCACATTACACATCTCTTTAAATATCATAATAGAATTATATTATGGTTCAAATATTGTAATATCATGCTGTTTATTCTTTTCTGTTTATTCTATTTTTTCTATTTCCTTGTATATTTTCATCAGACTAACATAACCTTTTTCCCTCCCTTTATATCTGAATCCACACTCTGAGTAATTACAAAGTGGAAAAAGTTAAGTAAACAAATTCTAAAATCATCTAAAGTCTAGAATCATTATATATTGTTTGAATAATTCTACACAGATCACTTTATATGTAAATTAATGCATTACTATTAGCATTATTATCACTATTAGCATTATTAGCATCAGTAGCACTACTAGCTAAATCTGCTCTCATTGTTTCCTGTTTAGTGTTGTGACTATGAGAGAATATTATTCTGTTAAAGTGAGACGACAAAGTCGACGTTAACTTTATTATCGTTCCTCCTCGTCTCAGATGTGTTGAGTAAGGAATAAAATACAGTCCCTCCTGAACACGAAGCTACACTTAACACAGAACAGCAGAAAACAATAATACAGACACACCATCAATACAATAAACACAGACAATAAACTAAACACTGTACAATAAACTATATGAGCGTCAGTTCAGGACAGTAGATACTAAATGGTGAACGGTGGACAAGAAGCAATGATTATATGTATAAGTGTTTGTAAATGTTTTATTAATGTTTCTTTTCACTAACTCATCTCTCACTTATAATTGTAGTTGTTCCATATTGTTGTATATGTAAATAACACTAAACCACATTTTCCCTCCCTCTTTAACTGAATCCACACTCTGAGGAATGAGCATTATTAGCATGATTATTTGCATGATTAGGCAGAGATGTTGTAGATCTTAATGACACTGTTACCACCTTTTTCCCTCCCTCTATATCTGAGTCCACAGTCTGAGGAATTACAAAGTGGAAAAAGTTAAGTAAACAAATTGCCTAAAATTATTGTGTATGATTTGAATATTTGTACACAGTTGTCATTGTATAGAAATAAATGCAGTGTCTTCCTCTTTTTTACATGTGGACTGAATGGATTAAAATGTCTTCACTGGTTAATGGCTGCACTGGGACATAAGGTGAGATAAACAGTGTCTTAATAGAGTTTGTACTTCTTTTCCATTTGAGTAAATGGTGGTAAATGCTTTCATGATTTGGTTACTTGTTTTTTCTCTCTCACTTCTCTTCACATGTTTGAGCAGAAATCTTCTTGGTGTGACAGACTGTGCGGTACTTTAAAACTTGTGAAGACTGCAATAAAAGTAATCAAATCACTTTATTAACTATTGTTTCATACAAACATAAGGAATATGTGTTCATTAGGGAATTAATCTCATTCTGCATGCTTCTCTTTTAACTACATGTTGGACTGAAATGAAAATGTCTTCATTGTTCTGCCGTTACTTTGACACAGCAAAGGTGAGATGAAGACTGACTTGAAGTTTAATTTACTTTTTCAGGATTTAAATGAACTGTTATTTGGTTTAAATTTTAATTTATACTGCTTTATATATTTATATATAGATAATATACATTATTAGCACTTATACCATCTTTTTCCTTCTTTCTTTTACTGAATCCACACTCTGAGGAAAAAGGTAAGTCATCAAATGATCTGTAATAATTATATATTATGTGAATAATCATATGTGAAATCATGCGATGTGAAATCACCTCTGTCTCTTATCTGTGTTCGTTAGATAGTTAAAGTTCAGTGGTCCTCAGTCCTACACCTCACCTGCCCATGAGGAGCCTGGCTACTTCCTATTCCGCCTATTATATCAAGAACAGGACTGTTAAACAGCAGAGGGCGCCCACGAGGGAGACCTCAATGAATGGGAGTAAATGGAGCTCTATGGCTAAAAACGAAAAGTTAAAATAGTTTCTAATCACTCACCCAGAAAGTTTCTTTGATTTTAGAAAGTAGAAGGATGTATTTCACTAAAAAAACCAAGAGATCTCACCTATATATTTCCTTTTTTCTACAGTTTTGGGCAGCAGAAGGCGGGCATTACTGCTACTGAGTGCGGCGAGCAGAGCAGCTCATTGGCTGTTTGCGCTCACAGACGTCATGGACATATGTGATGTTTTTAACTCCTATAGCTCGAGTTTAAAAGCTCTTAAAAATATATAAGAGCAGTGTTAAAATATTTTATACTATTCAACGTTCAGGAAATTAATGTAGTCTTTTACATTTAAAATGTTTAAGCATTTATAAACTATGATTTTGCTCAAATGCTCCATATTAACCCATTCATTTTGGCTCCCTGTAGCGTTTAAGAAACCCAGAAGACATTGCAGTGTGATAATTCTCCTCTCTACAAGTTCTCTGCTACAGCAAGCCAGCAAGCAAACAAATGAGCCAAGAGCTGAAACTGAGGTCAGATGTCGCTTACGTCGCTGACAGCCATCTTGGACAACACCCCCTGCATGATACAGTGGATAAACAGAGAAGCACATTCAGTGGCCGACTGTTACAGCTGCGCTGTGCTAAAGAGCGCCATGTAAGGCCTTTCTTACCCACTGCTATATGGCTCTACAACGAGTCTTCTTACTACAGAGATGGTACTGATCTCCTGCTGTCTGAACTGTGCTGAACCACATCACTATATCACCTTTCCTGCTAATACACACTGTTAATACACATATATCATAACCTGCTGCTGTAATGACACTTTCACTGTGCATTTTAGACTGTAAACACTGCTGTTATGCTTATATTCATTGTGCTGTAACTACCTCATACCACTTAGTGCAGTACCTGCTCCCATGTCAATACAACAAATCTGTCTTATGTGCTATGAAAATATGCAATAGATATACTTTTATTCCTGCTCTTTAATAGTTCACTTAATTTTTGTCTATTTTCCTATTTCTGCCTATTTTATGTAAGTTTAGGTGCAATTATATGTCTTGCTACTGTAACACTGCAACACTACAATAAACTATCTATCTATCTATCTATCTATCTATCTATCTATGTGTCTGTCTGTCTGTCTGTCTGTCTGTGATGACAAACTCTGGCACACTGCTTTTAAAGTCCAAGCTCCACCTCCTTGGACTCATTTCTGAAAGCTGAATGGCCAGATGATGGTGATTGACACCCCAAGCAACCAATGAGGAGAGGAGACAGCCAAACGAGCAGGAAAACAGCAACATAGAGGGGAGAGAAAACAAACACACACGTGCACAATCACTGACACGTAACAAAAGCACGAGCCTTATGAGCGCTGTGTGCGTAATAAACAGTAATGTGCGTAATAAGCGGTGACGTACAGTAGAATTTATACACTCTGAGGAGCGACAAGATTAAAAAGGCAAGGAAAGAAACTGTCTAAAATAGTTGTGTATGATGTGAAAATGATAGAACTACAGTTGTCACTGTATGTTAATGAAGTGTCCTCCTCTTTTTCTGCATGTTGGACTGACTGTCCACATGGTCTGGTAAGCAGTGTTACCATTATTAGCATTATTTTCTCCCTGTGTGTTTTTGTGTCTGTCCGGCTGAACGATTATGGGGAAAATATAATTGCGATTTAAATGTGAATATTTTCTAGAAATTAAGCTCGGAGCTCTGAGTTTTTAGGTTATATGCGTTCCTGTGAGAAATTGTCTGCTCTTCACTGTGTCTGTTTTAGTGCTTGGACTATGAGAGAATATTAACTTGTAAAAGTCATAAAATGTGGTTAGTTTGTTTTCTGTTCTTCATATACAGATAATATAGATTTGTTTGAGGAATTCTCTGTCTGTTCCCTCTTTAGTACTAACATCTCACAGTGATGAATCTGTTTTATCCGTGTTGCTGTAGATCTAAATGACACTGTTACCACCGTTTAACCTCCCTCTATACCTGAATGAACAGTCTGAGGAATTACAAAGTGGACAAAGTTAAGTAAACAAAATATCTAAAATGATGGAAATAAATTATGAGAAAAATTATACACAATTCTCAATTTATAGAAATGAATGCAGTGTTTTTTCTGTTTGCATGTTGGATGAGTGCATTAAACGACCGTTCATACAGACTGGTAAGCATTATTAGCATGATTAGCATGATTAGCCAAAGCTGATCTCACTGTGTTAGTTTTAGTGTTGTGACTGGTTGAGTTTCTGTTTCGAGTTTCTATTTTTGTATCTGCTATTTGTGTATGATGATAAACACAGGAGGACTCTTGGATAACTGTAAGATTAATATGTTCTGTGAGATTCTTGGTCAAACTGCACTTTCATGTCATTTTTATTAAAGGTGAATTGCCACAGCCTACATCCACTTTTAAAATAAACAGAGCTCTAACCAAACAGCTCTTTGATTTAAATATAAATACATTTAGGAGCTTTTTATAGCTCACATCAGCCAAGTGCTAGCTTGCTATATACATACTATAGACCATTTTCCCATCCTCAAACAGCTAAAGCTGTGTGAAAGTTTTAAGGTGGAAAGCAGGAGATTCAGTAAACAAACGGTCTAAAATAATTTAGAATTAAAGATGAAAATCACATAATTTGGGTGAAGAATAGCAATATTGAACACAGTATTGACATTTTATTATTTATATTTTGATCCTGTATTGAGTCCATTGTTAGACTAATAAAATAGGAAAATGCATTGTGTTCTCCTGCTGTTTATTCTTTTCTTTTCATTATTTTTTTTTTTCTATTTGGTTGTATATCTTTATGACACTAACATAACGTTTTTCCCTCCCTCTATATCTGAGTCCAAACTCGGAGGAAATACAAAGTGGAATAAGTTAAGTAAAAATTTGTCTAAAATTATTATGTATGATTTGAATATCTGTACACAGTTCTCATTGTATAGAAATGAATGCAGTGTCTTCCTCTTTTTTTGCATGTTGATTGAATGGATTAAAATGTCTTCACTTCAATGGCTGCACTGGGACATCAGGTAAGATAAACAGTGTCTTAATAGAGTTTGTCCTTCTTTTCCATTTGAGTAAATGGTGGTAAATGCTTTTATGATTTGGTTACTTGTTTTTTCTCTCTCACTTCTCTTCACATGTTTGAGCTGAAATCTTCTACCTTGGTGTGACAGACTGTGCGGTACTTTAAAACTTGTGAAGACTCCAATAAAAGTAATCAAATCACTTTATTAACTATTGTTTTATACAAACATAAGGAATATGTGTTCATTAGGGAATAAAAACCATTCTGCATGCTTCTCTTTTATCTGCATGTTGGTGGACTGGAATGAAAATGTCTTTGTTGTTCTGTCTTTGACACAGAAGGTGAGATGAAGACTGACTTGAGGTTTAATTTCATTTTTTTTATGATTTAAATGAACTGGTGTAGATGCATGTACAGTCTGGTTCTGTGCTGTTTGTTCTCTGGATGTTTTTACAGGGATTCCTCTCACCCTGTTTGGATGATGGTGGTCTTTCTCTACCTAAATATGTCTGTGTGATGGAGGAGCAGAGCTGCAGTTAACAGTGAGATCTGTGAAAGGACCCTTTGACAACCTTCCATATGAACTGGTAATCATTATTAGCATTATTGGCTAAAGCTAATCTCACTACATTAGTTTTCGTGCCTAATGACTGGGAGAGAATATTGTGTGGTGTGACATGCTGTTGGTTTTGGGTTTTCTTTGCCATTTATATATAGTTAATATACATTAGAAACATTGATGTAAGAATTACAGTTCATATTGTCTGTATACTGGATGAGTTCATTTCATGACCGACCACATGGACTGGTCAACTTTATTAGCATTACTACTATTATCAGCATAATGCCAATAGAAGATCAATGTGCATGATTATATGTATGTGTATTTGTATGTGCATTGTTATAAGAGCGCACCAATACTAATAATAACAGTATAAATACTGTTAATAGTAATAATAATAATAATAATAATAATATAAATTTATCGTCTCAGCAAGTAACAATGTGAAAAGTGCAGACAGTGTGTATTTTGTGTGTACAGAATAATGTAACGCTACTCAACAACAGAAAGACGCTCGCAGAGCTTAAAAACGGAAGTTGATTTAATGAGAGAACAGTCAAATGAAAAGACAGACTCAGGGTAAATCCAAAATCAGAATCCAAAACGCCAGGCAAAAAGTCAAAAGCCGGAAAATACAAAAATACAAGCAACCAGAGCAAAAGGGCAAACGCAACAAGCAATATCCAATAACAGGCAGGGAGTTGAAAAACAAAAGTCAGTAAACACAGTAAAGAACCACTCAGTAAACCAGTGAATGGCAATACCTCGCAATGAGGAGAACAAACCAGAGTCCTTTTAAAGTCTGAGGCAAACAAACACAGGTGAGTTGCGTTAATACTCGGGTGACTGAGAACGAGGCAGATGTGTGTGATCGGTGGAAGGAGTGGCATCATCGGGACTGGAATCATGGGAAATGGAGTCCTGGAGAGTGTTAGGCAAGGGAGGAGAACCCGGAAGCGTGACAAATAAAGTGTTGTTTGTTTATAAAGTGAATTGTAATGTAATGCTGTTAGTGATGTTGTTAGGTGGTGATTTCATTTATGCGTAAAAAAATATTATACATTATTTGCACTAATACCACCTTTGTCTCTCTTTCTTTACATGAATCCACACTCTGAGATGAAAGGTAAGTCATCAAATGATCTGCAATAATTCTATATGTGAAAAATCATATTCAGTTCTCATTGTATGGGAATTAATGCAGTGTCAATCTCTTTGTGTCTGCGTGTTGGCTGAGTGGATCAAAGTGTCTTAATTGGTTAGTGGGTGCACTGGGACATAAGATGAAATGAAGGTCGTCTCACTTTTTGTACCTAATGTGAGTATAAATGCAATTCATAGAGGTGGGAGATGAATATCACTGCATCATTAAGGTGAAAAATAGCAATATTGAACAGAGTATTCAGATTTTATTATTTACATTTTGATCCTGTATTGAGTCCATTGTTAGTCTAATAAAATACCAAAATCCATTGTGTTCTACTGCTTTTTATTCTTTTCTGTTCATTATTTTTTTATCTATTTGGTTGTATATCTTTATGACACTAACATAACCTTTTTTCCTCCCTCTATATCTG